GTCTAGTTTGGCCAACGGGCGTGCTGCTGTTCCTTTTTTTTGGTCACGCGTCAGGTGTGGCTTTAATTTTTGGGGATTTGGGTAGTGAGGTGTGGTCTAGACAGGCCGATTTAAGAAGTTCGGGCCCCCAGGCTATTCAATGGGGGGGCCCCCTTAAATTACGGAAGCGAAACGACCCCTTCCAGCTTGGGGGGGGGGGTGGGGGGGGGTCGGGTGTGAGCCTGTTTTAAAGGGCTAATTAAATACTTCTGGCTTTTTGATTAAAAATTTAATAGGAAAGTAAATCAAACAAACCAAAAACCATTTTACCCAAAACCATATAACTATCTTGTTAAATCAGCCCTTTTAAAGAGAATAAAATCAAGACGCATAGATTCTAATTAGGGGGTATTAAAGAGTGACATCATGTACCCAAATTTTATTTAGCAAACCACTACAGCACTGTATTCCCCTTTTTAAACATGACCATTTTTTTATCATTGCATCATCATAAGACTTCAAATCAAAAACTCAAGAAAGTAAAAATTGTTTATATTTACAGGCACTTCTTAATAAAATTTTTTTCTGGATTTCATATGGCAAAATCATCAATTAATTCTAAAATCAATATTTCTTGTTTGATCAGACTCAATGGCAACAGGCTGGTTTCACAATTTGTCTTGGCTCTTGTTTAACGGAGCTGGTTTTTCCCTTTTTAAAACAAAATAAAAGTTCTCCTTCACAGTTTTAGCTGGAAGTTAGGAAAGGCGAACACTTGTCAAAATTTTGGGAAGTTTTCTGAGGAAACCCGCATTTCCTAAATGTTTCAAAGCAGTGAGGGCGCACATTTTTTTAGGTGAGCTTTAATCTGATTCTATACCCAGAAAAAAGAATATTTTTTTTTCAAAAATGTTCCCGAACATCTGCTAAAGGTTTTTGCAACTTTAATGTAGCTTCTCTCAAATTTTCATTGGTAGATAATTTTGAAAAAAATCCAAACTGTCACGAGATTCGGTAGATTTTTCTTTCACCAAATTTTTAATCAGGAATCCAGAAAGACGAAAAAATGTAGCTGTCTTACATTTCTGCCCTTTGGAAAAAACAAAATTTATTGTCTGGCTCTTCAAAAATTTCGTTTCCCTTTCCTTGACCGCTGATGATCAGCCGGAACTTTGTCTTTCACCACAGTTTACTTTCCTTCAAAACTTTCAAAACTTCAACATTGCGAAGGAGCTTACAATTCCCCAAAACCCGCAAGAGGTTAGCACAATAGCCATTTAATTTTAAATTTTTTGAAGTGTCTTGTTTTTGGGATTTAAAACCCTTTCCCGTATACACCCAAAGCACACAAGTAAGGCCAATTCAAAACTTCCAATTTTGATGCAAATGGCTGCTTCGCTTCTTGTAGTTGCTGTCTGGTCTTCCCTCGCATTTGGATCAAACCAAAACGTATTTTTAGCAAACTGCTTCAAAAATGTGTTGCATCATGCTGCGCTGACCACCTTGTTGTTGATAATGATTTGATGACATCTCCATGAATGGTTGACTTGAGTATACTCCACCAATGCGTTGAAGCAGAGAAAAAATTAAAGAGTGCTTGTAAAAGTCCAAAAAATGAAACTGCAGCGACACAACACTCCGCAGCACATGACCCAACAAGATTAAGAGAATGTGCTGAGCAGGGCACATATTCAGCAAGTGGGTTGATTTGCTTGATACGGGCTTGCAATCCATTATATTTACCCGACATGCTACTTGCATTGTCGTAGCTCTGGCCACGGCAATCCATAATAGAGAGATCATGTTCAAGCAGAGTATCCAGTACTACATTCATAATTGTTTCTCCATCATGGCCTGAAAGAGGAATGAATTTTATAAAGCGCTCTACAGGCTTACCACTGGAGTCGACAAAGCGAGCAATGAATGTCAATTGATCTGTATGTGAAATATCTGGTGTATATTCTACACTTACTGCAAAGTATTTTGCAGTTTTCACAGCTGCTATGATGTTATTGAGGACCTTCTTAGTCATCAGTTCAATCAATTCATTGCATATAGTAGATGACATGTAAGATACAGTGCCTCTTCCTGCATTCCCAAGGCGTGACACATGATTTGCTAAGAATGGATCGAATTGTGCTAACAGTTCTATGATCCCTAGGAAATTGCCATTGTTTTCCGAACCAAAAACCCCATTTTCTCCACGGAAAGCAAGTCCTCTTAGAGCTAAGAATTTTACAACAGCAACAACTCTTTCTAGAACTTTTCTCCAATAAGTGCGCTCTTTTTCAGTTTCATTTTCCAAATGAGAATCCAACAAGCCTTTTTTCCGTGCAGGAAATACACTGGCTAAAATGCAGCTTCTGTGAGTGGCGCTGTTTTCATGTTCCTCGAAACGCTTGGAATTTTTCCAGTCATTGAACCCCTGTGTGAAGGTATTTTCTTTGGTAGAAAATAGTTTGCATGCTGAACAGTACACTTTTCCTGAGCTTTCAGAGTATACCATCCATGATCTTTTCACAGTTCCTGAATTTGCAAGCTTCCTATATATAAAACATAGATGACTTTAAACAACGACGACTTCCATCATCATAAATCCATGCTGATCTCCTAAAGTCAATGTTCAGAGTTTGACTGAAGTTTTCTGCAATGAAAGCATTACGTAGAGAATCTGGGATTACATTTGGCCATGAGGGAGGATCTTTTAAGACAAATCCTGTGGATGAAATGTCCGTTGAGACATTGAGAGGAGACAAAAGAAGTAGATGCTGGCTGAGAAATAATGGAGGGAGGGCTTCCTGTATGATCTGACGTATCTGCAGATTCAACTGTACTGGTAACATCAGAAACTGTTTTCGTGAGCATGGTCTGTGATCTTTCTGCAGCTTCCTACATCTTCTTTTTCTGTTCTTCTCTTGAATTTTCTTTTTTCTTTCTGTGACCCACTCGCATAAGAACGTCCAACATCACGTTCACGAGATGCCATAATGAGGATGTATCACTGTCTGTAATCATGCAAATACAAATTTTTCATTATCAATTATTATTAATTTTTTAATTATTAATTTTTTTTTTCTGTCAATTGGGGGGACATGGCCCTTGTAGCCCCCTTTCCTCTGGCTGCGCTTCTAAAAATTCAAAACGTTACCAGAAAGGAGTTTATATACAGAACTTTTACCATAGATTAGGTTAGTGATTTGGGCTACGAATATTTTACTAATTCATCCTCCTTGATCTCCAATTTACTTAAACAGAAATCATACCGAGTCCAAGAACAATGCACAATGGTATTTATATTACCATTTTCATAACTAAACTAATCATTATGTTTTGCATGATATATGGGCCACCACCATAGATAAGGACATGAGAATTAAAGAATGCAGGGACAATTTTCAGTTTCACCCAACCAACGATTTTCTGATGTGTTTCTGGGGAAATATGTAGTAAATTAATTGATGTTCTACATCACTTCCGTCGCAACTGAAAAACTAAGCATTTGCGACGTAGTGATTGAAACATCGATCAATTGAGATCTGTTATTGAAATGAAAAAAAGACTTAAAGACAGGACAAAGTGCATTTTAAAACCTACAAACGGAAGTCAATTTGCGTTTTTTAGGTTTTTCTTTATAGTATTTTACCAAAAATGCGTCTTTACTGGTCCATGCGTCTTTACTGGTCAAGTAACCCTATCAGGTACCTCCCTTAACATTTAGAGGCGAAACAAACATTTATCCATACACATCAATGTCTATCAACAACACTTCAGTTAATTTGTCACAGTACAAGTCTAGATAACGTGTAATTACTACAGAAAATTGGAGAGGAATCTCCCATACTCACCCATTAGCGGGAAAACACAGCTGTTCTGATGTAAACAAAGGCGTGTTGAGTGTTGCCATCTATGGTTAGGTTTATTTATTTTTATTTTATTTTATTTCATTATTTATTTTTGTTTTGATTAATTTTTAAAAATCAATTTTACTCTCCAAGCACTTGAACTTTTTAGGTAGGGACCCCTTTGCACTTGCACCATGTGCGCATTCGTGGATGAGCCCCTGAACCCCTTGGACCGCAGGGGCCCCAAATGCGCGGGGCCCTAGGCAAATGCCTTGTTTGCCTATGCGGTAATCCGGCCCTGGGTCTAGACCCTTTATATGCCTTCCTTTGATGCATTACTTTTGTTCCAATGTGAGTAGTCACGAAAGCGCTTGGAATTTCTTTATTCTTTCACAGTGGTTGTTTTGCATATTCTGAAATCACCTGTTTACTGTGATCTTATTGCATATATATATATAAAATATATATAATATATATAAAATATATATAAAATATATATATATATATATATATATATATGTCGTCCCAAATATGTAAAACTAGTCAATTAGCAAGAACTCGTTTAAAATTAAGTCCTTTCTAAAATTTCCTCTTATACGTTTAAATATATATTTTTTTCATTAATGTTGATGAAAAAAAATTAAATGATTTTACACCAAAAGGAACTTAGAAAACTTACCTAACCTTATTATAACAAGAACAATTTATTTTAGCCTAACTCAACTAAATATATTTTAGGTTTGTTTACAATAATTTAATACTAAACAAACACAGTGAAATATATTTTTTTCGTTAGGTTCAGAATGATTTGGCGAAATTATTGCATACACAAATTTTCACTTGTCCTATATGGCAAGATGAGCGTTGCTATTTAAGCCAAGATCGTAAGTTCTGCCTATTCGGCACGACATATACACACACTATATATATAATATATATATATATATATATATATATATATATATATATATATAAATTATATATATATATAATATATATATATATAGGGCTTCTATAGGCACAAACTAAATGTCACCCATCTCCATACAATCATTGTATCATGCTGAAATAAATTATTATTATTATTATTATTATTATTAGGTGCCAATCATGCATACGTTACACAATATCACTGCATCTGTGGATCAATGTATTATTGTACCATTGTATGGTGTACAGGTGAGGACAGTGAAAGCACTGAAGGAGGTGGTGTTGTCTGCTGGTGCTATTGGCAGCCCTCAACTGCTTCTGCTGTCAGGAGTGGGCCCTGCTGACCACCTCCACCAGCACGGTGTGAGTACCCTGTGTCTACTCACCTAGTTGTAATTGCAGGGGTCGAGTCACAGCTCCTGGCCCCGCCTCTTCACTGTTGTGTTAGTGTGTGTTACACACAGTTTTCGCAGTTTTACTTGTGTGTGGGTTACCCACAGTTTCTTCAGCTTTACTTGTGTGTGGGTTACCCACAGTTTCTTCAGCTTTACTTATGTGTGGGTTACCCACAGTTTCTTCAGCTTTACTTGTGTGTGGGTTACCCACAGTTTCTTCAGCTTTACTTATGTGTGGGTTACCCACATTTTTCTTCAGCTTTACTTGTGTGTGGGTTACCCACATTTTTCTTCAGCTTTACTTATGTGTGGGTTACCCACAGTTTCTTCAGCTTTACTTGTGTGTGGGTTACCCACAGTTTCTTCAGCTTTACTTATGTGTGGGTTACCCACAATTTCTTCAGCTTTACTTGTGTGGGTTACCCACAGTTTCTTCAGCTTTACTTGTGCGTGGGTCACCCACAGATCCCTGTTGTGGCTGACGTGGCCGGGGTGGGTCAGAACCTGCAAGACCATCCTGCCGTGGGTGGCCTAGTGTGGACCGTGGGCAATAGACCCTCTTCAGTCAACTTCTTATCCTTTTTCAACCCCAAGAACATCCATGACTTTATTCACCACGCCAAAGGTAAGTAGCGGGAGAGGAGAACATGTAAACACAATAATTAGCATGTCAACATTACTATTACCCTTATCATGTAAACATAATAATTAGCATGTCAATATTACTATTACCCTTATAATGTAAACATAATAATTAGCATGTCAATATTACTATTACCCTTATCATGTAAACATAATAATTAGCATGTCAATATTACTATTACCCTTATCATGTAAACATAATAATTAGCATGTCAATATTACTATTACCCTTATAATGTAAACACAATAATTAGCATGTCAACATTACTATTACCCTTATCATGTAAACATAATAATTAGCATGTCAATATTACTATTACCCTTATAATGTAAACATAATAATTAGCATGTCAATATTACTATTACCCTTATCATGTAAACATAATAATTAGCATGTCAATATTACTATTACCCTTATCATGTAAACATAATAATTGGCATGTCAATATTACTATTACCATTATCATGTAAACACAATAATTAGCATGCAGTGATAATGGCTGTAATTACAATATTACCATTAACACCAAATGTTAGTGGTAGTATTTACCATGCAGATACTACCATTGTCATTGCTTTTGATGAATCCCTAGAAATTTTCTACTCCCAAAGCCAGGTCAACCAGGCTGTTGCTGCTGGTGGCTCGCTGACCCCACATATCCATCACAGCCTAGTTGATCTGGCACCTGGTTATTATTGATGAGTGTCAATATAAATTAAGAGGATTATGAATAACTTGACATAAATATCTAACCAAGACAGGACTGGAAGCAATAGATTCAATTTGGAAACATTTAGAAAGGGTATAGGAAAGTACTGATTTATCAGTAGAGTTATAGATGAATGGAACAACCTCTCATTGAAGAGAGAACTTTAAGCAATTTAAATATAGGTTGGACAGATATAGAAATTGGTGTGGTTGTAGGTAATTTGGACCTATCTAGCATGGATCAATAGGTCTAGGGTAGTGCTCCACTTTTCTTACGTTCTTATTATGTTCTAATCCTAAATCTTAAGTAGCAAAGACTCATATTTCGTGCCAAAGAAAATGACATATACATATAAGAAAGGGCCTTTGTGGGCTCTTTAAAAGCTTTCTGACCATGACCAAGATTTCCAAAATGTGTGTCAAGTTGCTGCTGCAGTCGTATTAGCAAGTTCCCTTGCTATATACCAGTTCTTATTTTCAACACTATCTCGCAATGATCAGCCAACACGTCATGAAGCTAAATGAAATAAATTATATTATATACAGTAGACTGTTATTCAGCACGAGTTTACTTGGCACGATTTGAGTATAGCACGATTGAAGAATTGTGGCACAATTTTATGTAACGCGTCGTATGATGAATTTAACACGGTTCAGTTTGCGGAAAGGAAAAAAAACTAACCTTTTCTGCTGCCTTGTTGTGGTTCATCTGGGGAGACCTCCCGCCGTCACCTGCCACCCCCCTTTCCCGACACCACCCCACCATCAAAGCATTCGTACTTCATAGGTGTCCAGTCCAACTTCTCTGCTACAAGCTTGTGATTGTGAATTGTGTTTTTATCTTTTAATTGCTATATCTTGTATCTACCAACTGACTAACTTACTGAATGACTTGACTGACTTACTGAATGACTTGACTGAATGAATTGACTGACTTACTGAATGACTTGACTGACTTACCGAATGACTTGACTGACTTACCGAATGACTTGACTGACTTACTGAACGACTTGACTGAATTACTGAATGACTTGATTGACTGAATGACAAAGTTAGACACTCCAGTACAACCATCAACTTCAGTACCAGAATCTCTACCATCCACCTCAGACCAGTAAGGCCACAGCATAACTCTACACTCTCTTCACAATCATCCACAAACACCAGCACCCACAATTTAAGGTAAGAAATACTATTATTTTGTTACATTTGTAGTCTTAAGCAGTAAAAACAATATAATACATCACAACAATGAACTGCAATTACATATTCACTTTTATTTTTGTAAGATGTGGAGGACTAAAGAAAGTTGTTTGTCTTTTTTGGGGCTCTCAGGAACGTAACCCTATTTTTCCCATACGTTCTTCAGTTCATCTCACACGGTTTTACCTAACACGGTGTTTTCAAGAACGTAACTACCGTGTTAAATAACGGTCTACTGTGCCATACTTTTCTTTTACATAAAGCTTAGTTTATGCCTATGTTTGTTTAAATAATAATTTATAATACTGAACACTAGGATGTCCTCTGTTTTTAATCATTTTTTTTAACAGATGCTGTGCATATAAATATCATTTACTAGGCGTCAGTTTCACTAACATTTACTTCCAGTACAGGTCTAGCTAACAAGCGATAAAATGTCACAATGAAATTTGAATTAATTTCATATACAAAACTGATGGCATCTACTGGCCTCATCTCCGTCCACTCAGTCATCTGATTCTAATCATGGCGTAGCTGTAACCTTAGTGAACTCATTCCAAATTTTAATCTATCTGAAGGCAATCTAATTAGATTCTATGATATACTATAGAATGAAAAAATAGATACTAATAGGACTAAATTTGCCAAAAAATAGAACTCAGATTACCGAGCAACTGTAACTGAGCTTCAAAACCTCCTCTACATATAGACAGCCGTAATAATGTTTTACTGTGTGGACGGCTAATTGGAAAAATGTTTCGTTCTGTGTAGAGTTTTCAAAACTCACCTAGTTGTGGTTGCAGGGGTCGAGTCACAGCTCCCGGCCCCGCCTCTTCAATGGCCGCTACTGGGTCAATCTTCCTGCTCCATGCACTTTATCATACCTCTTCTTAAAGCTATGTATGGATCCTGCCTCCACTACATCACTTCCCAGACCATTCCACTTCCTGATAACTCTGTGACTGAAGAAATACTTCCTAATGTCCCTGTGATTCATCTGAGTCTTTCATCTTCCAACTGTGACCCCTTGTTGCTGTGTCCCATCTCTGGAACATCCTGTCTCCATCCAGCTTGTCGATTTCTCTCAGTATTGTATATGTCGTTATCATATGCCCCCTATCTCTCCTGTCTTCTAGTGTCATCAAGTCGATTTCCCTTACCCTCTCCTCGTAGGACATACCCCTTATCTCTGGGACTAGTCTTGTTGCAAACCTTTGCACTTTCTCTAGTTTCCTCACATGCTTGGCTAGGTGAGGGTTCCAAATTGGCGCTGCATACTCCAATATGGGCCTAATGTACACAGTGTACAGGGTCCTGAATGACTCCTTATTTAGATATTGGAATGCTGTTCTTATGTTTGCCAGGTGCCCGTATGCTGCAGCAGTTATTTGGTTGATGTGTGCCTCATGAGATGTGCTCGGTGCTATACTCACCCTAAGATCCTTCTCCTTGAGTGAGGTTTGTAAGCTCTGGCCCCCTAGATTGTACTCCGTCTGTGGTCTTCTTTGCCCTTCTCCAATCTTCATGACTTTGCACTTGGTGGGGTTGAACTCCATGGCCCATTTTCTGGACCAGGCCAACAGCTTGTGCAGATCCCCCTGTAGTCCTGCCTGGTCCTCGTCCGATTGAATTCTCATCAACTTCACATCATCCACAAACAGGGACACTTCGGACTCTATTCCTTCCGTTATATCGTTCACAAATACTAGAAATAGCGCAGGTTCTAGGACTGATCACTGCGGCACCCCACTCGTTACAGGCGCCCACTCTGACACCTCGCCATTTACCATGACTCACTGTTGTCTTTTTGACAGGTATTCCCTGATCCATTGTAGTGCCTTCTCTGTTATCCCTGCCTGGTTCTCCAGCTTTTGCACTAATCTCTTGTGTGGAACTGTGTCAAACGCCTTCTTACAGTCCAAGAAAATGCAATCTATCCACCCCTTTCTCTCTTGTCTTACTTCTGTCACCCTGTCATAGAACTCCAGTAGGTTTGTGATGCAGGATTTCCTGTCCCTGAAACCGTGCTGGCTGTCGTTAATAATAGGTGCTCCACCACTCTTTTCCTGACAATTTTCTCCATGACCTTGCATACTATACACATCAACGACACTGGTCTGTAGTTTAATGATTCGTGTCCGTCTCCTTTTTTTAAAAAATGGGACTACATTTGCTGTCTTCCATACTTCCGGTAGTCGTCTTGTTTCGATAGATGTGTTGAAGATAGTTGTTAGTGGCTCCTTCTCTCAAAGCCCATGGAGAGATGTTATCTGGCCCCATCGCCTTTGAGGTATATAGCACACTTAGCAGCCTCTTGACTTCTTCCTTGGTTGTATGTATTGTGTCCAACACTTGATCGTGTACCCCACCTCTCCATCTTTCTGGAGGCCCTTCTGTCTCCTCTGTGAACACTTCTTTGAATCTCATGTTGAGCTCCTCACATACTTCATGGTCATATTTTGTGACATCCCCTCCTTCCTTCCTCAGCCTGATTACCTTGTCCTTGACTGTTGTTTTCCTCCTGAATTGGCTGTACAACTTTGGGTCAGATTTGTCTTTCGCTGCTGTGTCATTCTCGTATTGTCTTTGGCATCTCTTCTTACCTGTGCATATTCATTTCTGGCTCTATGACTGGTCTCCTTATTCTCCTGGGTCCTTTGCCTTTTATACTTCTTCCATTCCCTAGCACACTTGGTTTTGGCCTCCCTGCACCTTTGGGTGAACCACGGGATCATCCTGGCTTTCTCGTTATTCCTGTTACCGTTGGGTACAAACCTCCGCTCAGCTTCCTTGCATATTGTTGCCACATATTCCATCATCTCATTTACTGACTTCCCTGCCAGTTCTCTGTCCCACTGAACCCTGTTCAGGAACTTCTTCATGCCTGCGTAGTCCCTTTTCTTGTAGTTTGGCTTCCCCCTCCACCTGTAACTATATATTCAAAACTCAGAACCACACAATCACTAGCCCCAAGGGGTCTTTCCACTGTGATGTCCTCAATATTTGCACTATTCAAGATGAATACTAGGTCCAGCCTTGCTGGCTCATCCTCTCTTCTCTCTCTGGCAGTG